AAATAACTATCGACGAATAGTTATACGAGTAAAATGTTGTAAAAAACAAGGATCTTAATTAGTATTCATTTTTTTACAGAAAAGTGAGGGTGACACATAAAGTGAGGTGAAAATAGGCAAGTCTTTTAAGAAATCTCATGCATACCAGCTAGTGTATTCTTACAATTAAAAAGTCCAGCTTACCATGACCATAACTGAAATAATCGATGAAATCAGGCGATTAAAGATTAATACGTAATCATAGGCATGACTGTTTAAACACATATCACAAAGTCTCACCAGCACAATCATCACGCATCGTCGTGTCCCTATCCCACATTATCTTGTGAGCTCTTAAAAGGCGACAGAGTGAAACTGAACCAGGATATGAGCAGCAGCGTCTTCTTAACTTTTCTGTCTTCTTAACAATTAAAATGTTAAGATTTAAAACATATACATTAGTTTTAAATAAACAATATAAGAAAAATTAATAGAAGTTTTATTTTATAGTTTTACAATAACGTGACAATCAACAAGTAACGTTGCTAAGATACCTATTTCTTTTTAATATTTCGTGTATCTTCTTAACATTCGCCTTCCTTTTAGAACTTCATGCCCATTTTTATAGTTAATTCCAAAACTCATGGCTTATATAAAGGTTTTGTTAATATATCAGCATGGTCTTTAGCACATGTTTTCAGCACCTCCAAATTTCTTTGCTCAACACATTCTCTTAAAAGAAGTGTCGTATACGAATATGTTTGGTTCGATGGTGCATTTCAAATGGTGGATCATGGGCTAGCTTTATAGCCGATTCATTGTCAAGATGTAGTCTGGGAATACTTTCACAACTATCAACTAAAAATCTTAATATTTTATCCATCCAAATGATTTCTCTTGCTGCTTCACTAGCAGCAACTAGTTCAGCTTCTGTAGATGATATAGCTACGCTTGATTGCCGCTTACTTTGCCATGCTATTGCACCACTAGAGTAAATGCACAGAATACCTGATGTCGACCGTCCAGTGCTATGATCACCTCCATGATCTGCATCACTATAGCACTCTAAATGATTGCAATTACTCGAACTTTTGTAAATTATACCATAGTCAGTTGTGCCTTTTAAATACCGCATTATTTTCACACGTTTTCTGCCGTAGGATTATCCAGATTTCGTGACACAAATCCTACCGCAAATGCTATATCTGGTCGAGTTCCAGTCATCAGATAAGATAAGGAACCCACGGCTTGACGATAAGGGAATGATACTTTTGGATTAGTTTCATTGTTGAAATTTTTTTCATTGTCAATATCCTTCGTTATCGGTGTAGCAGCTGGTTTACAATTCTGCATACCAACCGTTCAAGTATCCTTTTCCTAAATCCCTTTTGATCAATTTTTATAGATCCATCTACTTTTCTATCGATCTCAATTCCGAGAAAATACGATGCAGTTTTGAACGTGATTTTGAAATTTTTGTTCATCTCACCCATAAAATTGTCTATTTCATTTAAATTTGTTGCTGCTACTAATCCATCATCGACATAGAGAGCTATGATAGTTTTAATACTTCCCCGCTTCCTTACGAACAAACAAGGGTCAGATTCACTTTGTTTAAAACCAATTTGTAATATATATTGTGTAATACAATGATTCCAACAGCATGGCGCCTGTTTTAAGCCAAAAAGACTCTTTTTTTAATTTACAGACCATGTTGGACTTACTGTAATAACCTTCGGGAGGCTTCATATAAATATCTTCTTTAAGTGTTCCGTATAGGAATGCGGTTGAAACATCAAATTGGGCAATATCCAAGTTTTCTACGTCATCAGTTTGAAGATTATTTGATTTATCTATCAAAGGTATTTCTTGAAAAGTAACATCTCTGGAGCGAATAAGTTTATGATCTGTTTTATTCCAAATTCGATAACCATTGTCTCCTTCATAACCTAACATTATTCCTTTTTGAACTTTCTTGTCAAGTTTCATTCTCTTTTGTTTAGGAATATGAACATAGCACTGACAACCTATAATTCTCAGATGTTTAATAGCTGGTTTTTTGCCATGCCACAATTCATAAGGATACTTTCCTGCAATCTTCGTTGGCCCTGTTCGATTTAAAATGTAAACAGTGGTATTTACGATTTCAGCCCATAGTCCTTTTGGTATTTCTTCATGAACATACATCATCGAACGTGCAGCCTCTACAATTGTCCTGTTATCCCTTTCGCATGCTCCATTTTGTTCGGGAGTATATGGCATAGTTAATCTTTGAATAATACCATTAATGCGTAAAATGTCCCGGACCTTCTGGTTATCAAATTCTGCCCCATTATCAGAAATAATTTCTCTTATTTTATGCCCAGACGCCATTATTTCTGCTACCATATTATTAAGCATTGAAGCTACTTCTGACTTCTCTTTCAGAAAATAGATAAAGCGATAACTGGTGAAATCGTCTTTAAATAAAACAAAATATCTGTATTTCTGAAATGAATACGGGAAAGGCCCGCAAACATCGGTATGAAAAATTTCACCTGCCTTTGATACTCTTAGTCTCGTTCCAAAACTTTTGCGGTGGGCTTTACCGTTTATGCATCCTTCACAAAGTTCTTTGTCTAGAGCTACTTTAATGCCGAGCTCTTTATCTATCAACTGTCTTACATGTCTCTTATTTTGATGCGCCATTCTCTCATGGTAAACTTGTAGTAAATTGGAAGTTGTTATCTGATTAATATGTAGCGTAGGTGGCACACACTTTAAATTCAGTTTAAATAACCCTCCATGTCTTTGCCTATTTCCAGTTAGCACAACTTTTCCATTTACTCTCAATGAACAGGTCTCAGCAGTTGATTCGAAAAGACAATTCGGTGAGCGATCTTGTGCAGCAAGCACAGAAAATAGATTTCTTGTAATCGAAGGTACATACCAAACATCCATTAGTAAAATATTTTCTACTCCACCTTTAACATAAGCTTCAGCACGGACAGTACCAATTCCAACAGCCTCGATACTTTGCCCATTAGCCCCTGTGATGATGTGGGAAGTTTTAAAATATTCAAAATGTTCGAAAAAATCCCCTCTATTGGTTATGTGACTGGTAGCGCCATTATCCACATACCAATTTGTCGTATCTACTAAATTGTCCATCAATAAAACTGTTTGGTTAGTTTGATTTATATTCACGCTTAATTGTTTAGGTGGCCTTCCTTCACTGATCCACTTCTTGCATTTCCTTACTCTATGTCCTTGTTCCCCACAGTAATCACATTTGAAAAATTTCTTCCAATTCTTATCTTTTCCGCTAATTTTTCTTTCTGGTTTTGCGTATAGTGCCTCAGCACAATTCTCAACTTCTGCTCCGACAGACAAAGCTTTCTCATGGGCACATAGCTGGCAAGTTAAATTTTCAATTGTTCTATCCTTTTTTGCCATTAAGAGCCAACTGCTTTTGAATCCAAAATATTGAACTGGCAATGTGTCAAGAATTTTACAAATCAGTAAAATATCAGGAAGATTTTCTGCGGACTCTAAATTTTTATTTAATTCGTGCCAAATATTCTTTAAAGTCGATATATGGGTAGCCATATTGTGATTGTTTTCCTTTTGATATTTAAAGAAATCAAGACAAAGTTCGTAACTTTTATCTTCTGTTTCCCCATTGTAAAGATGGTTCAATTCATCCCACATCTCTTTCGAAGAAGTGAAACGCATGACTTGCTGCAGTGTCTCTTCACACATGTTCGTAGTAAATATTATTAGGATTGTACTATCTACATTCACAAACTCTTTTAATTCATTCTCATATTTCTGATTCTCTTCAGCTGTAGCTGTATCCGATAGCATGGGCTTATATCGTTTACCTTCTATGATATCCATTGCTCCGGGTATAGCTCTAAGCACGATGAGAATTTTAAACTTCCACGTCTTCCAGTTCTTAGAATCTAGATATCCTACCTGTATCTTCGACGCTTCAACTATTGATTTATTCATCTTCAAAAGTTTCAAATAAGGTTCAGAATACTTTATATATATATATGTATATATATATATATATATATATATATATATATATATATATATATATATATATATATATATATATATATATATATATATATATATATATATAATATTGGTTTCAACCAAATATATATCCTAGATTTAGAACTTTTGTATTCACAAAGTTTAATTGCTTTTTTTTCGCTCTGCTACCATGTTAAGATTTAAAACATATACATTAGTTTTAAATAAACAATATAAGAAAAATTAATAGAAGTTTTATTTTATAGTTTTACAATAACGTGACAATCAACAAGTTACGTTGCTAAGATACCTATTTCTTTTAAATATTTCTTAACAATTAAAAATAATATAAAACTGTGGTTGCCGATCCGCCTAAATATAACTATGACAAATTTCTTTTTTTCTATTTATTTATTTTCAGTTCTGAGTACATAATAAATAAAATGTGCCAAACTATGAACACAGTTTCTCGGCAGCAGCTCTCATGGACGACACATGTTTATCTACTACTTATATAAAGAGCACAAAAAAACAAAACTTATTAACTACCTAAAGAGCACAAAAGAAAAATGTAAAAAGAAGTTAAATAATATTGTTGTTTTTAACCTGTCTTCTTTTAATTCTTTTATCTTCTCCTATGAGTCAATCTTTTGAATACGAGCGTCAAATAGCAGCTTAATGCTGCTGTGTTTCGTATGATCCGAATCAATCCAAATAAGATCCGAAGACCCTTTTTTACTGGAAACGAGGCATTCCATCTTAGTCCTGACGGGTGACAACGCATCTGCATTTTGATTCGTAATCGAGGATAGATGAAGATGTATATGGACAACAGCAACCTTTTACCATCAAGCGGACTGTATGCTCGCTTGTCACCCTTTCCCTACAGAAAAAAATCAATGGGGAGGCTTATGTTCAGCAGTGGACTTTGATGATGACGTTGAATGGTGACGTCACAAATACTCGTTAGAAATATCGTTGATCGTTATACTTACTGAATTCCGCCTATTGTTTCTACGCCCGAGCAACCAGCGTGACAAGGCGACATGTAGGTTATCATCTGGTCTGCAACGCAGACCGGTAATATCTCTAGTCTTTCAATATCGCACCTAAAAATGGACAAAATTATCAATTTGTTGGGCCCAGGCTTCCTCTCATATCTGAGATGATAATGGAATAGGAATTATTCCGTCACGTTGTTTCAGTATAAATTGGCGCGCTTCAAATCTATAAATATAAATAAAATAAAGATGTCTGTGTGTAACATCGAAATAACTGCCTTTTCTCGAGCTCATGGGGTTTTTTTGCATAGCATTAAGACATGAATAACCATTTGTAAAATTTTTGTCTGTGAAACTACGCGAACAGATAGAGAGATAGGAAATTTTTTCGAGAAATCTAAAAATAGATAAAATATTTAACGGTTTTTGATGATTATTTTAAATTTAAATAACTCCGAATCAATAAATCTTATCCAGGCGTACGCGTAGTCAGGGCAGGTTCGTATACAATAGACGAAGATTTTGATAAATATTGTTATACTATTATTGCGTTAACGGTGCGCGTTAATTTAATCTGTTCTTGTAAAAGAATGCATGAAACAGATCAAATGGAGATGAAAGCTAAGAAGAATGTGGGACAGGGGAACAGAGTAGTTGAATTAAACCAAGCAGTTGAGAATCAAAAAACCTCGACTAAGTTAAAATGCAAGACGATGTAGACAACGCGCGTGCTGTAATAATGCTTACAAGTAGACATTTTGTCAATTGGAAAATTGAATAAATAAATGAAAGTAATTTTTTTCTAAACATACTTAATTTACTTAAGATTTGTTCGTAACATTCATTAGTTATGTAAACTATGTCGAAAAAACTAACACGTCATAAATTAGGAGCTTTTGAAGCAAATAAAAAAAACATGATATTGACTATTTGGTCTATATAATTATGATATTTGGTATTTGATACAATAACCGAAATTTATATAGATGAAACAAAATACCAGTTCAAGTATTTATGAATTGTTTTAAGTTTATTTTAAGTCATCCTAAATTCGCTTTAAAGATATTTATTTACTCATAAAAACATAATAAAGTTGCTGAATGAATAGTTTGTAATATAAACTGTTTATAATGTATATAAAAATACATGTACCTCGTATGTTATAAAACGGATCGTTATGGAAAATGAAATATTTCTCGATTTTTTTTACTATTCTAAGCCAGCACTTAACTATATTCCACCTGATGAAAAGTGGTGATGTAGCCTAAGATGGTGGAGCGCACTGACTTAACAAAAGCCTATTTACTCGTGCCTTGAAGACACCCACATTGTAATCGGATGGAAATATAGACGCTAGCAACTAATTCGCTCCTTTGCTATACGCATGATAAACGATGCAGCAAAACGTTTGGTTCGAATAAGTGGTAAGTCAACAACAAGAGGATGGAGACTGGCCCAACGTCTGGTTGTATGAATTTAGATATAGGCATACATTAATTGAATTAGATCTACATGCATGTTTTGTTTAAGAAGAGAATAAAACATATTATTATGCACTTTGAGTGCAGAGCGGGGTTGGCCGAGACGCGCAAACGTAATTTGTTTTTTTTTTTTACTTTTTATACATTCTTAATATTTATTGGCTTGGCTCACCCGCATGTTTGACTGCATTGTGGTTGCATATAGATCTTCTCCTGCAAGCCGGCAACGTCACCTGTCGTACAAGGGAGCATTCCCACCACAACGTAAGCGAGGATCATCAAGACATATGCTTTTATAGTAATGCTCAAAAGATCTTTCTTCTTAATTGTTTGCATAACTGGTGGCCCGAAAATCACTCCCAAGAACTATAAATATATACAGGTAAAACTAAATAAAAACATGATCAGGGGAAAGAATTTAATGGAAGGGTTGGGGTGAAGAGGTCTGGTTATGAAAGGATATTGGGAACGTTTGGTGATGAAAGTATAAATGAGAATGGTGAAGACCTCCTCACCGTATGTGTGGAAAAGAATCTCTTTGTGACGAATACTTTTTTTTCGTCATAAGATTCATATGTATACATGGGAAAGTGATAAATGACATGAAATGACACAATGAAAAAAATGATAGATTTCGTAATTGTGGATGAAAGAATGAGGAGCGCAGTCGTAGATACAAGGGTTTACCGGGGGTCCAACGTAGGGACGGATCATTACTTGGTCTTATGTCGTATTAATGGTCTTTTCAAGCGTTGGCGGCATCGGACATCTGTGTCTACCACTGCGTTACAGCGTATAAGAATAGAGAAGTTACAAGATGAAGATGTGAAAGAGAAGTATAACGGCAGACTGAGAGAAAATATTAGGTGTTTGAATGAGTTATGTATGAATGATTTAGACTTAAATACTGTGTGGGATAATATTAAGAAAGGTTTGGTGGATGCAGCCACCGAAGTATGTGGTGTAAGTAAGAGAACAAATGAAAGGAAAAGGAATACGTTGTGGTGGGATGATGAGGTACGGGTGGAAGTTGAATCAAAGAAGAAAGCATGGTTAGATTTACTAGCAACCAAAGCTGGTAATTCTGGTGGTATGAATGATGAGATTGAAAGAAAAAAGGCAGAATTTAGACGTCTAAATAAGAGAGTAAAAGAAGTAGTTGAAAGGAAAAAGAAAGAAAGAACGGATAAGAATGATAGAAGGATATCTGATAATTTCCAGGCTAATATAAAAATGTTCTGGAAACTCGTAAGAACTGCCAGGGGAAATACAAAACAGCCTATAATTTATGCTATAAGAGACGAGAATGGATGTATTCTGAATGATGAAGTTTCGAATTTAAACAGATGGAAGGAATACTTTGAAAGCGTGTTTATGAGTGAAGAGTCGTCTGAATTAAATGAACAAGAAATTCCGAAAGAAGTGGAAAGGGGTATGGAGATAAGTGTAGATGAAATAATGAAAGCAATGAAAAGCATGAAAGCAGGTAAGGCAGCTGGATATGATAGAGTATCACCCGAAATGCTAAGGGCTGGAGAGGGAGTGGTGGCAGGCCTGCTGTACACCTCGTTTAATTTGTGTTGGGAATTAAAACGGGTACCGGATGACTGGTGTAAAGCAGTTATAGTACCAATATATAAAGGAAAAGGGTCACAGCAGGACTGCAAAAACTAACGTGGTATCAGCTTGCTTAGTATTGTGGGTAAACTGTATGCTAAGGTGTTAATTGAAAGAGTTATGAAAGAAACTGATGGGAAAATTTGGGATGTGCAAGCGGGTTTTCGAAAGGGTATGGGGTGTACAGATCAAGTCTTTTCCATGCGCATGATTGCGGAGAAGTTTTTGGCTAAAAACCAGAAAGTTTTTTGTGCGTTTATGGACTTGGAAAAGGCTTATGACAGAGTGCACAGGAATGTGTTATGGCAAACACTGAACTCATATGGGTTGAGCGCTGGTTTGATACACGCATTGAGGTCTTAGGGATTCTAGTGCTTGTGTCAGGATCAATGGGGTCTACTCGGACTGGTTTGGCATCCGAAAAGGTGTCAGACAGGGCTGTGTGGCTTCCCCTTGGCTGTTCAACCTATTTATGGACAGGTGTTTGCAAACATTGAAAGATGAAGAATGTGGTTTAAGAATGGGCGAGTTAACCGTCAAATGCCTTTTATATGCCGATGATCAAGTCATATTTGCGTCGTCGGCGCCTGAGTTGCAAATGATGGTTACATTAACGAACTGGGCATTATCAGAAAAAAAGGGGAATGAAAGTGAACGCAAGTAAGACGAAAGTGATGGTTTTTGAAAGAGAGGAAAGCAAAACGGTATGTGAAATAAGAATAGAAGGAGGGTTAATTGAGCAAGTGGATGAGTTTGTGTATATGGGATGTGTATTTAGCAGGGATGGTAGGTATGATAAGGATATAGAACGACAAGTAAATGCAGGGAATAGAGTGAATGGGGCACTACACTCTATTGTGAAGAACCAGAATGTATCAAAAAAGGCACGTTTGGTAATTCATAATGCTGTGTTAGTCCCTACTTTAATGTATGGTAGTGAAAGCTGGGTGTGGCAGAAGAAGCACGAAAGTAGAATAAATGCTGTAGAAATGCGGTCTTTATCCGCATTTCCGCTATAAATGATGATCAAGTCATATTTGCGTCATCGGCGGCTGAGTTGCAAATGATGTTTATATTAATGAACTAGGAATTAAAAGAAGGGGAATGAAAGTGAACGCAAGTAAGACGAAAGTAATGGTTTTTGAAATAGAAGAAAGCAAAACGGTATGTGAAATAAGAATAGAAGGAGAGTTAATTGAGCAAGTGGATGAGTTTGTGTATTTGGGATGTGTGTTTAGCAGGGATGGTAGATATGATTAGGATATAGAACGACGAGTAAATGCAGGGAATAGAGTGAATGGGGCACTACACTCTATTAGGAAGAACCAGAATGTGTCAAAAAAGGCTTTAATGTATGGTAGTGAAAGCTGGGTGTGGCAGAAGAAGCACGAAAGTAGAATAAATGCTGTAGAAATGCGGTCTTTAAGGAGTATGTTAGGGTTGAATCTGAATGACAGGGTGAGAAATTGCGTGATAAGAGATATATGTGGTATGCAAGATGATGTTGTGACCAGGATTAAGAAAGGAATGCTTCGGTGGTTTGGTCACGTAGAAAGAATGAATGAGAAAAGAGTGACAAAGCAAATTTATATGGCAGATGTGAACGGCAGAGTCGGGAAGGGACGCCCTAGAAAAAAGTTTATCGACCAAATTGGCGATATTTTGAAAATGGGCCACGTTAAAAGTACCCTTAACCGACGAGCATGTATGCGTAGATATATGGATGTAAAGGAGGCGAAAGAGGTATGTCAGGATCGTGTCAAATGGAAGTCCGTAGTCTCTGCCTACCCCTCTGGGTGACGGGCGTGAGTGTTTATGATATGATGATGATCAGGGGAAAATGAGTTCTTCAACGTCCAAATGATCGCGTAACCTTAAGCGATTAACTATTTATTTATTCTTAACTTACTAATTACATCCCTTTACAAGCCCACTGCCGACCCCAGGCCTTTCCCCAATTTATGCCATTGATAAAACAAAAAGTAGACCATCTGCATTTATCGACTTCCTGCATCTATTCCTAGGTCAGTACGAGATTAACAAAAAAAAGATGGTTGCCTGTAAAGTCGGTTTACGAACGATAATTCAACGTGACAACGTCATAACAAAACATTGATGAAATGATTGCATACTTTTATGAATAAAATAGCCATCGTGCCTTTCGCTCGTTCGAGCCGCGCTCTCGCTCCGATCGTGCTCGGCTCGGCTGGAGCGTAACGGGACAATGAGTCATCCTTTTTCGTGCATGCAGCCGGCGTTCATCAATTTATTAGACGTTGTCACGTCAAAAATTAAAAAAATAACAAAAATTAACAAAATCCCGTCCAAATCCAAAAAAATATTTGAATAATTATACTAATAATAAGTATTTTAACGTTACATTCTTTCTTATGTAACATCTCGTTACCTTATATATCTAACAAATAAGATGATATTAGCCTTCGAAATGTAATTTTTATTAATTTTGTTTACGGACTCTTTCGTAAAATAATAGCACCGTAAATTGTATTTTATGCAAGTATTAATCCAATATTCTGTAATATCTAATAAATTCTAATTAACATCTAATCAATCTGCAATAAAAGCTTTTTAAGTTCTTTAAAGTCTATGCTATTTCCTTTCAACTACCACTTTGGATTAATGATATATTGGGTTAACGGGTATGAATCCCGGGTCAGACCAAAACCAGTTATTGAGTTTATCTGAAATAATTGTTCTGGGTCAGGATGTTTGTCTTTGTGAAATTTGTGCATGCTTAGCTGGACATTTTCCAGAGATGACACTTATCTAGGTAAGTTTGAAAATTAAATGACTGTCTATTTATTTAATCTATTATCTAAATACATAAATAAATTTCATCCAAATCATTAGAGCTGTGTTTGAGAGTCCAATTAATATAATACCCGTAGATTAATAATTAAAATAACTCACCACAATTACAAAAACAACCACGTGTAAACGTAGTATCTCGGCATAATTTACTGCAATATTCCTTTCCAAATGTAGATTGTATTTTGCCTGCAACATTAAAAAAATTGTCGAGTTAGAGATAATTAATGTAAAACGCACCGAAAAAAAATTGAGTGGATTGCCGTAATTGTGAAACCAGACGCCCCGTAATTATCTCAATAGCCACCAACTTTTCCGAGAGTTATACGCAAATAAACACAACCGTATAACAACAGATCTAGCAGGCGGGGAAGAAGTACTAGATATAATACCTGCAGAAGTGGAAAAAGCTGTAAAAACTCTAAAGAAAGAGATCCCTGTTCAAATGGAACGAAAACAAAGATCACTTTTTACCGATTCTGACTTATCTAGTTAATGAAGTGTTGCAGAGCAAGATAATAACCTTATCAGTGGACAAAATCAACCATAAAACTGGTACACAAGAATGAAAATAATAGTAATATAAATAACCATAGACTAATAAGATTAATAAATCTAATGTAAAATATTTACAGTTTCCGCCAAGACACTAGATGAACATCAACCGCGGGAAGAGAGAGAGAGAAAGAACAAGCGGGATTTAGAAGTGGTTTCTCGACGTAAGACTATATATATCTGGTGAAACAATATTCGTAAAAGGTAAGAAATTTAATACAACTTTCTACTGCGGTTTTGTAGATTATAGTAACTTCTACTCACTTGAGCGTAAAGAGATCGGGCAAACGCTTAAAAACTAGGGTATCGAAAATAAATGTATAAAAATAATAAAAAACATATATATAAAAACATCAAAGTTGAATTCAAAAAAGGCAAACATAGGAAGAGAGGGAACCAAGGCGACCCCATCACACCAAAACTTTTAAAAATTGTTCTGGTCACTTCAATTGGAAGAAATGTGAATTATCAATCAACGGTGAAAATCTGTCGCACTTAAGATTCGCGAACGATCTGATAATCCTCTCGACATCGTCAGAAGGACTGCAGGCAATGTTAATTAACCTAGACGTAGTAAGTCATAGAGTGGGATTAGTCATGAATGATCAAAAAAATTAAGTCATTTCAAATGAGAGGAAAGAACTTATATGGGTTAACAAAAAATACTATTTTAAAACTGATGACTATTGTGAGGATAAGCACGTGTGGAAATAAAAATATTTCTACACTACTGACCCGATACACCCCAAAGTCAACGGTTAAACATAGGCCTTCCTGAAAGATTGGGTTTTGCGCTTGGCAGACGGATTGGCAACCACAGTTTATAATTTTTTTGTTGTTATCAAGAAGATCCTGCTGTCCATCTCCTGTTTCATATTATCTTAGAGTAATTACATATACTATGTATGACAGCTAAAATTAGCTTCCGTTTCATACATATACCTTTTTCTATGGAAGTCACACTAGCCTGTTCTTGAGAGCCATAGATACAAGGCCAGGAGTACGAGGGCAGCACTGAAAATTTTGGGAATCAAGGAAGTGATACAACATTACTATTTAAAAATGTATTTATTGCTTTTCGAAGTATTCTCCGCGAAATTTGACACATTTTTCTATACGATGGAACCAATCATTGAAGCAACCACTCCATTCGGCAGTTGGGGTCTCCAAAATGGCCGTTTTGTAGGCGTCCACAGCTTCTTCAGGTGATGAAAATCTCTGGCCACGCAATTTATTCTTTATTTTAGGGAAAGTATAGAAATCATTTTCGATCATTTTAGACGTTTTCGAGCTATTGGACTGGAAAGGATACGGTATTAACATCAATGGCGAGTACATCACTCACCTTCGATTTGCCGACGATATAGTCCTTATGGCAGAATCGCTGGAGGACCTTAGCACTATGCTCAATGACCTCAATGGTGTCTCCCAACGGATAGGTCTTAAGATGAACATGGACAAAACAAAGATCATGTTTAATGTCCATGTCACACCTATGCCGGTAGTTGTTGGGAGCACTATGCTCGAAGTTGTTGACGAGTACGTTTACCTGGGACAAATAGTCCGACTAGGTAAGTCCAACTTCGACTGAGAGGTCAATCGACGGATTCAACTCGGCTGGGCAGCGTTCGGGAAATTACGACACATCTTCACGTCAGGTATACCTCAATCTCTGAAAACTAAAGTGTACAACCAGTGCGTGTTGCCAGTGATGACTTACGGATCAGAGACGTGGTCCTTCACCGCTGGCCGTATGAGGACGCTCAAAGTCGCTCAGCGAGCTATGGAAAGGGCTATGCTCGGAGTTTCTCTGCGTGATAGACTCAGAAATGAGGATATCCGCAGTAGAACCAGAGTGACCGACATAGCCGAACGGATTAGTAAGCTGAAGTGGCAATGGGCCGGCCATATAGCTCGAAGAACCGATAACCGATGGGGAAGAAAGGTTCTCGAGTGGCAGCCTCGTACCGGTAGGCGTAGTGTAGGGCGACCCCCCACTAGATGGAGTGACGACCTGGTAAGACATGCAGGAAGTCGATGGATGCAGGTGGCTCAGGACCGTGCTTTGTGGCGTTACTTGGGGGAGGCCTATGTTCAGCAGTGGACTTGTGAAGGGCTGTAATGATGAATGATAATGATGATAGAAATCGTTAGGGCTTAGGTCGGGGCTGTACGGCGGATGGTCTAATAATTCTATGTTTTCTTGCTCTAAAAACTCTTTTGTTCTGTGTGTGGTGTGAGAACTCGCATTGTCGTGATGGAGGATGATGCGGCGGTTGTAGTTCTCTTTACGGAGTTCAGAAACGACCCGTGGCAAAAAAATGCTAGCATACCATTCTGCATTAACCGTTCTTTGTCCCTCAAGAGGAATAGTCGTAACATGTCCGGTTTTGGAGACAAACGTGGCCACCATTTTTTTTGCAACACTCTGTGAATGAACAATTTTTGTTGGCTTTAACTCATTTTCGAACACCCAAACTCGTGACTGGTTTTTTGTTTCGGGTTCGTGATACTACTGATACGATGTTGTATACAGCATTTGAGGATCCTGCGTGGAATCTTTCGAGAGTTCTGACGCACCAGGTAACGCGAGCCGCTGTTTGCTCTTCACAGAGTGAATGCGGTATCCATCGGGAAAACAACTTTTTTACACTCAATTGTTCATGCAAGATTATTTGTATTTGACTCATGCCAATGTCTAAAGCTGCCTGAATTTCGCGGTATGTCACATGTCGATCTTCCTCAATCAGCTTACGCACAGCATCAACGTTTTCTTGGGTGACTGCAGTTTTTGGACGACCTTGACGGGGATCATCACTGAGCTTGACACGTCATGGTTGAAATTCAGAAAACTAGCGATAAATTGTGGTTTTGGATGGGGCTTCATCGCCAAATGCAGAAATCATCTGGTCAACACACTGTTTTTGTGTTAAACCACTTCGAAAGTCATAATAAATCATCGCTCTTGAATTTTGTCGAGTCAATTCCATTTTCTCAACGACTAAACAAGTTTGTTAAAACCTTGTGACAAGACCGAGAATCTTTTTTTAAAATAAATAAATGGTATTCGATTTTTAAAACCAAGGATTTTTCAATTAAAAAGATTTTAATATGACAGGAACAGTGGAAATATTCCATTCCCGATACTTTTAGTGCAGCCTAGTAATTGTATAGAGATTACCACTCGCGGATGTTGTCGTTTTTTCATGGACATACTACGTTTTCCATTTCATAGGCATCTATATTGATGTGCCTTAATCATTTTTCTTAAGAATTCTTATTACATTTGTCTAATTTTTTACGGTTATTTAGTAAAGCAAAATTGCTGTGGAAGAGCGAGATCTTCTGCTACAAGCACTTATTTACTCACTAGAAAGTCTCAACATGATTCTATAAATGTTTTGAATGAAATGAATAAACATATTATTATTATTATATGGGTCGCCTCTTACGACACCCATTGGACGATATGGGATAGTGGATATTCTTACACCGCCAAAACACGGTGGATTTAGATTAAATATAGAAAAAGAAGATAGAATTAGAATAAATATTTCATTTTAATACCTCGATGAATGCTTCTTGATGGTAGGCAAAGCCCCAAATCGCAGAAGCAGTCAGAGCCATCGCAACCATTTGTGACGTCACCAAAGTATTAGAGAAAATGCGGCCCACGCTGGAAAAGAATCCTGAAAGGTAACCGTAACTGGTTAAATTAAATGACTGATGACTTAGTTAAGTAAAACTAATGAACTCTGGTATTTTACACTTAAATCTATCTTCAAAATTCTTACTTTGATTAACAAGCATTTGGAAAGAACGAATAAAAAGAAATAGGTTGGATTGTAAGAAGCTGCTAAGAATTTTCATTATGAAACAACTTTCTAATGGAGATTCTCTCCTGACTGCGATGATTTAGATTTTAATAGATCAGCAGAAATAAGTAATTATTAAAAACCAACAAAAAACATGGACATCACAAAAGTCAACAAGTCACACAAGACACACACTAACGACACAGGGAGAGCCTTTTGGTGTACTAAACCATTTGCAGACTTTTTAAAACACGAATTGCTTGCCGCCCTTTTTCCCAAAAATACAAACAGCTAGTCCCAGTAATACTCCGATTGACTACTCCCAAGTAAGATAATTGTCTGAGGAAAGTTTGACAACCTTTCTAGGGATTGTAAGCGCAGCTGTTGATCATGAGTTCCTGGTTTCGAATCCCTGGGTTTTCCTGATAAGAAATTCTCAATATTAGCCCCTAGTATGTAAATTGGCGGTTTTCACCCTTGTGCCTCGAGAAGCACGTAAAGCCGTTGGTCCTGCGCCTGATCTCCGGCTGTGTCTGTGCCCATAGGACTCAAAACTGGTTACGTATACTCTACATCAAATTATATTTTAAATAAATATGCCAAAAAAAGAATAATTCGATTACATTGTATTTCTAATTAAACTAATTTGAGTTTATGAAATAATATTGAATGTTTTTGATAATTTAATAATTTATGTTTAAAATTTAGATAATTCAATAATAGTTAGCCCCATGTATACCTATTAATGTGTAATCTTAAATGTAATATGACAATTCAACTTCACTCAAGGCAAAAAGCCTCACACGGCCTCAGTGCATCGCAAAACCCAAGCCGCAGCCAAAGCATAATAAAACTCATTATATGTACTCTTCCTGCCGCTAGAAACCGATTTGTCGACTTTAGGAATGAAAAGCGAAGTCTCACTTCGATCATCCCTCGGGATTGGTGGCATGTCCTCCGTTTTCGGTATTTCCCTCGGCATATTCGATATAACCTGTAGAGAATTGATCGATAGCCCGATAGCGATTATTAATATCTGCACTGTCATATTAGTTTCCACAGATTCCGTCAGCATAGTGTGGCCCACGACGAAAGCCAACATCCGAAATGTTGTGAGGATACCTGAAAAAAATATAGATGAGAATATTGATTTTAGACAAAGAAAGAAATAAGAGAGATAATACAAATTTGCGTTTAAAGTAACCTTATTTTTTAACAGATTAAAGTTAACAAACAATCACACAGTTCATTTGATGGTAAGTGGATACTGTGACCCATAAGTTTAAAATCTACCCTCGGTTAAGAATCAAAATGCAGATGTGTTGGCACCTCTGAAGAATAAGATGGAATGTCATTTCCAGTAACAAGGGTCCGTATAGAAGGAAATAACGTCTTAACATCTGATTTTTTTTATAAATTTTATCATTTCTTTTAACCTGTATAGCGTTTTCTAAAGAAACCAATATCTTAACTGTTGCATCATAGTTCATTTTGGGTACTTATGTTAGAAACTTTTTTAATACCCTTAACAAAATTAGTGATGTCCGTAGCTTTAACGGGCGTATTAAATCTAAACTTACCTAAGAACAGGTAAGTATCAAAAAAAACTGGCCGCTTAGTTCTAAGTAGATGTTTAACTGTATATAACAAGATTCCTTTTACCTGTAATATTACTGATTTGCCTTTGCATGGATTTAAGGCGCATGTAAAAAGCAGATCAAAACCAAACACACTTCGTGAAATGGAATATCTATACTTATATTTGTTTTTATCTATATAGCTGGCACGTTATTAAATGGTAGCTATGCTTTGAGAAAAGAAAAACATATAAAACAAATATTACAATAAAAACCCACTTACCAAAATGCAAGGCCATTTTAGAAGGTGCGTGCTCATCAATGTAAGCAATCCCGTGAGAGAAGACGATAAGTCTCGTTACACCAAAGAAGATGAACGTTAATATAATAATGAGCAGTCTTAGTGGAATGTTGGGGCCACTGCTGATATCCGGAGACTTTATGGCCCCGTCGCAAAACTCTGTAATGATTAATAACACTTAATTCTTAAATTCGCTGCAGATTAATGCAAAATTTTAATGGTTAATTTGGCACACGACGGTATGATGACAGTAGTGATAATATCGTCAGTTTTATAATATAACAGCCTAGTAGTATGATTAAAACTACTTTTACGGATTTTGTCGCGTTAATTTTTACTTTTTATTTTTAATTCCCGACGTTTCGGGCGCTTTCCGGCACCCATGGTCACGGGGGACTGAGATGACTGACGTCCCGATGTCATTGTTAAACCCGGAGTACCTTCAGCTTTTTTAATTATTGTTTATGGTCCGATCTATGCAAAATGAACTGACTATGTCCTGAGATCTTGCAGTGGTATGCTTGGGTTTAGTTTTAATTTTATTGATTATAGGATCCCAAGCAGGTGGTAGTACCTAGCCTCCATCTCTATTGAAATTAGGATGTTTTTTAATTTCATAATCCCGAAACGTCGGGAATTAAAAATAAAAAGTAAAAATTAACGCGACAAAATCCGTAAAAGTAGTTTTAATCATGTGCAATGTTCGCGTAAATATAAGAAATCATTAGCCTAGTAGTAGTTACTATATTTTATAGGGGCAAATGAGCATGCGGCTCTTCTGATGGTAAGTGACCGCCGCAACAACTGCAACTTTTACGGATTTCTTAATTTTAATACCGACATTTTGGGTGCTCTCCAGCATCCACGTCACGGGGGACTGAGGTGAATGACTTCCTAATGTCAAATTGAACAAAGATTACCCAGAGTATTGAGGAAATTCATGGTAGCGAAAGAAATGAATTGAATGAATGAATGACATGAATTTAAACTACGAACTGAAAAACGAAATGACAAAATAAAAAGAAATTTAAAAAGGTACGTACCAACACCTTCACTACTCATATGCACCTTCGGTAGAGCAAACCACAGAAATGTGAAGAGTGCGGTCACCAAGCACGCCACTGCCATCATGATTCTCCGTCTATTTTGCCCGACCCAACCAATAAAAGGTGCTACTGTTGTCTCCAGTACTGCTAGGAGTACAATAAATAGATCTGAAAAATAAAAATTGTTTCGTTTTTATTATTTTAAATATAATATTTTGAATTATGATAAAGCTATCACAAGTGACCCACCCTGACCCTTGAGTTCGATCTCCATCGGGACCAATAAAATTTTTAATTGCAATATTGAGTATTGATAAATCACGTGATCTGCGGTGAAAGAAAACATTGTGTTGCTCAACTTTATGTATAAGGTTACAGCCTATATACATATACGTCCCACTGCTGGGCATAGGCCTCCCCTCATTTCTGAGAGGGTTTAGGGTAAGAAAGTGCCCGCCGCGCTGCCCCAATGCGTGTTGGCGAACTTCGCATGTCTCCGAAATAATTTTTTTCTTAACATGCAGGTTTCCTCACGACGTTTTCCTTCACTGCCGAGCACGTGGTAAATCAGCACTTAAAATTGCAATTAACAATTTCAATGGTGCCGGCGGGGATCTAACCCGAGTTACTCGCGATCTGTTATATTTACAGCGAGCGTTAACCATCTTAGCTACCCCGGATCTTTACTTTACTTTATGTATACGAGAAAAAATATTCGAATACATGAGTAATCCAGTTTTATACTCCAGACCAAATTACGACCACGGCGGCGAGTCCCAGCGGAGACTAGGCATCTACGCGCGATAGGACAGTCTAGTCTCTCACTCTTATAGTCACGACTGGAGAAAGATCATAGCGGACCAATCGTTCAATAACCCCTTCAGAAGTGAGATATAATAAAAATGAGATGAGACCTGTTCCCACTAGTTAGACGTATACAGGCTGTATCATCATTGCCATTACTATAACGGTCTACCAAAAGTCCACTTTCGATCCCAAGGCCGCCTCCATAGAATCCGTCCGGAAAGTAAGGTAAGGTAAATAACTTCAACTAACAAGAAAGTGCACGTAGGAAAGTGCCCCAAGCAAATACCAAACACGTTGGTATGGCCATGGTGGGTTGATAATAAAATATTATAAGAAAAATTGTGGCTCTTGAATCACTTTTGCAGAAATACACTATCTCTGCTTTGTACGGAGTACCGCTTAACTCCACCGCCCCTTATCACTTTAAAAGACCGTCCCCAGATGTGTGCTATACCCATAATCACTCCCTTCGGTCTTCTGTCAATGTTGCTCTCTCTACGTCCATGCATTCTTCCTCCTTCTTAAGTGTCATTTCACAAAAAACATCCTGCCTTGTGATAGCGTACGGCATTCTACTACCCTATACAAGGACGGAGGGAAATGGAACAGGAGAACATGGACGCCAGAATCGTTTTGATAACAGGTCAAAAATAAAAAGAAAATTGCTTTTGCCATCATGCCTACCAAGAGTGGCAACTATGACAAATACCTTCCTAAAAAGGCAATCTATAGAAAGACCTATGTTCAGTAGTCGACGTATGATAGCCTGCAATGAATAAATAAATTAATTCCCTACCAGTCATGTAAGACGGAAGATGCCCTGCGATAACGTCCTGTCTGAGGAACCTGTACGCACAAATTTCCCCGAGTGTCACCGATATGATAGCTCCCATCAGACATCCTCTTACTTTATCCACTACTACTTCTTTACTGAAGAACCAGTTCTTGAATCCGGTTTTCACTGCAAACGAAAACAAGTGTGAAATAAACACAAATGTTTTTTGGTAGTTTTGACGAGTTGTGTCGTAATCACCAAAACACTGTCCCAGCCGAGTTGAATCAGGTTCAGATTGTAGTTGGACATTTCTAGTCGCACAATTTGTTCTAGGTAAACATACTTGTTAACAACATCAAAACTAGTATTTATCAATAACGACCGGCACAAGTGTGACATGAACGTTACGAATGATCTTTGCCTTGTCTTGAAAACTTCATCTTCATCCACAACAGGAGACGGAGAACAAATAGAAGATCCTTTCGGCGTTTCTTCTCCTAGCTCAGGATTTATTACAAAATTAGTTGCCTATTCTTTCAATAATCCGGTATAGTAGCACTGTAATATCCACTACGCCATATTGTCCCGTGGGTGTCATAACAGGTGACAGAGGGAACCTGAAACTGAAGATGCATATCAGCATCTTCGTGATAACAACCCAAAATAAAAAATTGCGGTTGCCAACCTGCATGGCAAACGTGGCAACTATGGCAAAACCCCCATGAGGAAATTTCTACAAGAAGGTCTATGTTCAGAAGTAGACTTTGATAGCCTGTAATGAGTGGATGTATATTTTGAACATCATGTATGTTTTTAAAATTGTATCATCGAACACCAATTGAAGACGCTCTGTGTCAAATTTTTTATCAAAACACGATAAATGCCGCAGTTATCTTATTTATGTTATAGAAATAAAACAAATGTTTTTATTGTATTGAGTCATAACGTAAGCAATAATAACGTTGTCCTCTGGATTGAACTTTGGTCACAGGGGTCAATCTCAAGAAAGACAAGTTCAGGAGATTATAGTGCACAGGTATGTGCGCAAACACAGGTGCATGAATGTAGAAAGTTCAGGCGCAGGAACAACGGCTTTAAATACCAACCGAAGTATAGGGGGTGATAAACGAGCATACAGAGCACCTGATGGTAAGTAAATTCTATGTATAAAGTGCAGATGCTTTGTCATCCCTTGGGACTAAGATGGAATTCCTCGTTTCCAGTAAAAAGGTTCTTCAATTCTCTACACTCACTCTACAAAACACAGCAGCATTAAGCTGCTATTTTACGCTGGTATTATGTGAGGGCGTGGTTGTACCCCGGTCTAGCTGACCCATTCGTGCTAAAACCATAATATAGCTGCAGTGTGGCTCTACCACGTGGAAACATTCATGCTGCTACTTTCCTTGACAGGAAAACTCAATAATTGATTAACATTAGTTACTTTATCTTGGACAGCGAGACGGCCGATGTGTTATCATGACATATATACCATGGATGAAGTTTTTTAATTCTTAGTTACACCAATTTATGAATAAAGGGAAATATGAATATATAATGTTATATACTTCTGGCACAATCTGGAATCCTTGCCCGATGCATTGTCCTTTAAAACGAAGCGCCAAATGTCTTGAATTGGTTGATATTAATTCCACAATCACTTATCTTCTTTCGTATAATTGATTTGATCCACACCTGTTAATATTAATTGATAAATGCCCATAAATACTATAGATATATTACTGAATACATTAAAAGAAATTGTTTTGATCAATTCACCAAATATACGTGCTGTTTAAAACTTGAACATTTCCGCGTTAGACACTTGACTCCTATCTCACGTGTTGGAATACTGACTAAAAAAAAAACTATCCAAAAGCTAGCCTGCTATAGATATGATTACATATAGATATATAACATACAAAAAAATATAACATGTTATGAAGATAGTGCTTACTTCCTATATCCTACTTATACAAGGAAAGAAAGAAAGAGATAAATATATTTATTAAATACTTACCGATAGCAAATATAAGATAACAATCTAACTGATAGTAAATAAATCAGACTTATATAAATACTTTTTTATGTATGATCCGTTTATCATTCATAAAAAGTCTTAGCTTTAGTTTATAAAAAGTCGAAGATAGGGTGTTTTTGTGCCATAATTGCCAAGCTTTGCAGGCGGCTTGGCAACAGCAATTTTTTATAATTTTCAATTTTTTTCAGATTTCAGTTTCAGTCCCATGCAGTTGTAAATATTTTTACATAGCGCAATACAATTTTGAACGTTACCATTTGTACTCCCCATTTAAGAGTACATCGATATTCGAAAGTTTGACATTAGTAAATTTAATACATTTTGTTTTATTGCCGTTTAAGAGCAAATTGTTGGCGTTAAACCAATGCGCTAATTTCGAGAGAGTAATTTATATGAACTATAAAAGATTAACAATTGATCCAAAATTTTTTTTCAAAAATTTTTCTGAGAGTTGGTAGTACAGAAACAGGTCTAAAATTAGCGAAGTCCAATGTACTACCAGATTTAAATAAAGATATTACTTTACTATGTTTCATTAAGTCAACAAACACACCAGATTCGACACTAGTATTAAAAATAATAACAAGATGATGTGCAATTAAATCTATTATTGATGCAATAATTGTAACCAAAATCCCCCATAAATCTGCGGTTTTCTTTACTTCAATGGTTTTGAAATATTTTATAATATCTTGTAGTAATTTTAATTTATTTTTAGCAGTCTTAATTTTGTTGCTAGTATGTAAAGATTTGGCTGGTGAGCACACTCTAAAAGTATCGGAAATATTATACGATCTTTCATGGTAAATTCCTACTGTCGCCCACTCATTAAATGCCTTGCGACTGTTAGTGGAGAATGTTTTAAAAGTAAATGTTTTGTTAAATTCATTGCTTTTAAGTGTAAATAACACTCCATATAAAAAGTCTGAATTGTTCTTGTAAGAAAGCGATGGACGGTTTTTTAACATATTACTTCTAAATCTCTCCAGGCATTTTGAATTAATCGGAATAAAACACAATTACTCAACTCCTGTTTTTGTGTATGTAAGGCAATGAAACCAGTTGTCCACAGTGATCTGAATTTAGTTTTGGAACAAAATTTGACATTTGCTGTTAAATGCCTTTTATAAGTTCCTTGTTCGTTGAGATTCCACAGAATGTCTCTAAGAATACTACAGTCTACGAAGATAAGTGGCTACCGCAGTCCACAGACTCCTGAACCCACCTTAAAACAAAGAAGACTACAGATTCATTGTCACTGAGGACTAAGATAGAATGCCTCACATACTTTGCTTATACTGGCCTTCTGTACCCTTCAAACCGGAACATAGCAGTGGAAGCACTGCTGTTTGGCAAAAACGCATATGCATTTAGATTTTTTATTAGGATTTTTTAAATATAATAAGGGTGACAAACAAGCACAGTCCACCTCATGTAATTTTGTATGTGATAGAGCTACGCTGCAGCTTATGTTTGTAGCACGAATGGGTCGGTTCGACCGGGGAAGGACCACGCTCTCACATAATACCAGCGTACAATAGCAGCTTAATACTGCTGTGTTTCGTATGCTGAGTATAGAGATCCGTAGACCATTTCTACTGAAAACGAGATATTCCATCTTAGTCCTCAGGGGTGACGACGCATCTTCATGTTGATTCTTAATCGAGGATAAATATAGATATCTATGGGCCGCAGCATCCACTTACCATCAGGTGGACTGTGTGCTTATTTGTCACCTTTATTCTATATAAATAAAATAGTAATTGTAAACTGTAGCTCGTATACATCTACAGTTATCCTCGATTAAGAATCAAAATGCAGGTGCGTTGTCATTCGTGGGGACTAAAATGGAATGCATCGTTTCTAGGAAGAGGGTCTCCAGTTCTCTATACTGAACATACGGGCAATATTCTGTTATTCTGCGAGAGAGTGGTCTTTCCCACGTCGAACAGACTCATTCTTGCTTCAACCATAATATAGCTGCATGCTGCTGCTGTAGCTCTACCATATAAAACAGGAGGGCGGAACCTACCCAGATGGACACTGTTTGGTTTTTTATAGTTTATTTACAATTAATGATTTCTTATATTTACGCGAACACTACACATTGATTAAATTTACTTTTATGGATTGTATTGCGTTTAATTTTGATATTTAATTTTAAAATTAAAATAATAAAATTAAATATTAAAATTAAACACGATAAAATCCATGAAAGTAGTCTTATTTACAATTAGTTAAATATGTAATTAGATCTATTACCAACATGAACTTTTGCTGAATGATTCCATTGAGTCGGTCGTCCCTTATCAGGTCTACATTTGCAATTCAAACAAAACAAAAAAACAATTACAAATAATATGTTGTAACTTTTACGATGCTATTTTAATAATAAAATAATGTTAAAGGACTACGTTTTATTATTGAATCACGTTATATTATTAACGAGCAACCTGACCAGGCTTCGCGTGCATATAATCTATTGGTTTTTATAAAATGGCCTTGTTTAGATTTATGACAACTAAAGGTAATTCATTTTATCGACCTTTCGTTTTTTTTTAATTTTCCAATTTTTTCGTTTAAAATGTAGCCTAGATCACTTCTGGCAATCGCTTCAGCCATTCGAATAAAGACATACACAAAAGTTTAAAAATGCTTTTTCTATTTGTTACATTTAAACGAATACATCATGACGTTGATTAAAACTGTGGTCTTGAAGGGAAAAGGGAGATCTCCCGCTGGACAAAGTGTTCTGCCCGCGGACCGACCAACGCTCCGTGTGATAATCTGGAGCTATATAGAATAGCTCCAGTATCCATAAACTGTTTTTATTTCGGAACTTTGATAGCGCGATTTGGGCTTCGATGTGTTTCGCTTGTGGAACGACGACAGCGCCACACAAAACTCGGATTTTATAGTATTTAATTTAACTTTTTTGAAATTCCTGTAAGTATGCGAAACCTCGGGAATTAAATTTAAACGCGATTAAACCTGTAAAATTACATTTATTCGAATTTAATTTTTATTTTAGTCTGGATGCATAAAAGACGCCTTTGATTTTTCACCATTTTGAAAACATAAATCCTCTAAGTTTTTTAGCGGATAAGAAAAGTGCGCGATAAAGCATTACAATGGATGAACGGGGTATCTTGCTTCTTTGTTGTGAGATGACGGTGAGTTGTCCGTTGCCTGCATCATCGCAAACCCAATATCTCAGTAGTCGTCATTACGATATGCTTAGCGAGTAACACAGTTGGCACTTTTTATTAGTGCCACGTAATCATAGTACCCTTAAGTCACAGATCAACATGGGACAATTCATCTTCATCACCCAATAAAGGCAGAGGTCGCAGTGACAAACGTTTCGCTGCTTTTACGTCTAGTGTAAAGTATATTGCTATACCGCCGTCTAACGGAAACCAGGAGGATATCGGATTTTTTAAATTAAATCGAAATAACAACACCTGATCATAAATGGTGACTGTAGCACATGGACCTCTGCAAACAGCTTCAAACAAATAATGTCACAAATGCGTCACTCTTTACCCTTCAGACCGAAGAAAACAGTGCAGGCATTTGGTGATCGTAACAGGTAAAATCCAGAAAGTTGAAACACCGCCCACTTCCTCTCACTAGGTTGCAACTGAGAATGTCTCGACAGAAAAACCCAGTTACTGATTTAGTCCGATCCGGGATTCGAACCCAGGATTTCATAATTTTTTTTTCGAAGATTTGAAGATCGTGCGTGCGTGTGTGCGTACGTGCGTGCTTGCGTGCAGTGTGTGTGTGTGTGTGTGTGTGTGTGTGTGTGTGTGTGTGTGTGTGTGTGTGTGTGTGTGCATGGACGTGTGCGTGTGTGTGTGTGTGTGTGTGTGTGCATGGAGTGTACGTGTGCGTGAGCTTGTGTTTGTGAGTCTGCGTGCGCGTGTGCGATTGCGTATGCTCGTGCGTGCGTGAGCTTGTGCGTGTAATTGTGTGCATGTGGTTGTGAGGATGTGCACGTGCTTATACGTGTGAAACAAAATACCACAATGGACAGAGCAGTCTCAAATGTACGAGACATCTGGTATAGGCTAGTCCTTCCTACAACAGGAGAGCCCCATATCCAGCAGAGAAAATTTCTCTGAGCTGATGACGAAAAAGAAAAATATAGTAAAAATAGGAAAACACTGCCCTAAAAATATTTTCATATAATAAGGGTCACAAACTAGCACACAGTCTACCTGATGGTAAGTGGATGCTGTGGCCCATAGACATCTACATCTATCCTCGATTAAGAATCAAAATGCTGATGCGATGTCACTCCTGAGGACTAACATGGAATATCTCGTTTCCAGTAAAAAGGGTCTCGAGTTCTCTATACTCACCATACGAAACACAGTAGCATTATATTACTATTTTATCCTGGTATTCTGTGAGAGCGTAGTTATTCCCCTGCTAAGCCCACCCATTCGAGCTACAACCATAATCAGATTTACTTAAATGTCTTCGACCATAATATAGCTGCAGCGTGGCTCTACCACGTAAAAATATAGTTAAGTAATAAAAGATTAATAAAATA